AAGCAACTAGAACTAATGATATCAAATTTAAATAATGCATATGAAGACAGTATTTATTATAAATGCACACTCTTAAGATAATGCAACACAAAGGAATCACAAGCAGTAATTAACATTTCCATAGGTGTTTTGGGCTTCTGTAAAAACTTTCCATCACCCTTTCTTGCTTTTATAGGCCTTGTTGATATCTATGGTCTTCCAGAGCGTTTAATACAAACATTGTGTACAATAACATCAGCTTCAAATCTATCTCTAATTCAGGAGATTGTAAGCCACATGAGTGTTTCTGAATGAAACTCTCTTCAACACCACCTTTGAACTTCAACACCACCTTTGAACTTCAACTACATTTTCATACTTTTGGGAGCATTTCAAAACAAACTTTCTTTATTCAAAGAAAATCTTGAATTACATTAGTAATACTAATGTTTAAATCTGTAAAGAAAGCAACTTAACTTGAGCTATACACTGTAAATGTGTGCATACATTTTTTTGAGACACCCTATATATTTACACCAAATCCTGTTATGGCAAATTGTTTATTGATTTTTTTAATTGGCCATTTGCTGATTTTTCAACACATGTTAACCTGCATTTGGTTGTTAAAAACGAAATATCAAAACAATCATTATACACCAAAAGAATATGAATTCAACTCAAAATGAAAATAAAAAAACAATGTGTTCTACTCAAAGAATAAAATGTATATATATAGTTTGGCCAACAGTGTAGTCAGGGCCAGCAGTACATACACTAATTTTATATCCCATGTATATAACGTGACCCCTTAAAATTAGCTTCAAAATTAGGTCTTTAAAAATCACATGATATGTGAGTATATAGAGTATATATTTATCAGCCATTTTGAGTCCACTGCTATAAAAGACTTTTCCTAAATATTTCCATGATGAAAATGATTATGTTATTCTCTGCTATGTCATACTAGAAAATGGCTCTAATTGATCTCTTCGTCTTCTGTCTGGTCTTTCCCTACTGCGCTTGCTATCCATTGGGCACTAATCAACGAGACTTTTACTCCATCTATTATCCTTTCTTCTTAGCAGGGTTTAATTACTTCTGTGAGATCTTCATCAACTCTTTGATCAATGTTGACCATTTTCTATTTCTAGCATTGCTAACTCCATTACTCATGCATTTTCCAGTTTGTTTTAAAGTGTTTTTGTCAATTTCCATGTTTCACACTCATACGCCATAGCTGGTTTTATACATTCTTATTTATAGAATTTTGTTTCTTGAATTCCAATACCCTGGCATTCTATTGAAATTTTTGTTTATTGAAGTATACTTCAGTTTATTTATTTAACAATTAGTATGAATAAATATAACAATTATTTATGAATTAAAATAAATTTCTGTACATGTATTCAAGTTAAAAAATCCATCATTTTTTATTGCAATTAAATTTGTAAAGCTCCTCTATTGAAATAATCTATGTAAATGTAATATGTAGTAGTATGGAAAAGAATGTAGATTTTCAATAATATATGGATGTTATTTAGAATGCACCTTTTGTTGAGTCGGACAATCTAGGAAATGCTGGGGAAACACTCTGACTTATGGTGAGAAGAGTATATTGAGCAAAAAAGGTTGAGAACCACTGGTTTATCAATTGGCAGTCCTTAGATCTTGAATGCATCCAAGTGGTCTTTGAATGGTTCAATTACTGAACGAGTGTGTTGGTAAAGATGTGGTCAAATTCTGTACAGAAAAAAAATGGTGTCATGTCCTGAAGGTCAAAATGCTTTTGTGTCGCATGGTGTTTTTGAAATAAAAAAAAATCAAGTATGAAAACAAGAGACTCCAACCTACAAAAGAAGGTGTGTGAATTACATTTTATTATCCAAACAATATTTTTCCCAAGATAATCAATTATGGACAATTTAAGCCAAACTTTAAAACACAAGTCTACACAAGAAGACAATTTGACAAATTCTACTTACCATATCAGCATGATCAATAAGGCAACCACTATTTTTGAATTGCCAAATGAGATCAAAGATTTGAGCTTCTTGCACTTTTACAGCTTTTATCAAAGGTGTCTCACCTTCCTAAAAAAAAAGTTGTTTAATTAGATTTGGGGGGTTCTACAAGTTTTCAAGAGTTATGAAAATGTTTTTTGAAGTTCTGAGATGACATACTTTTCATTATTTCATGAGTATCCTCATCTTTGTTGTTGTTAATACAATATTTCACTTAATATGTTCTTTGACCCTCTTTAGTTGCATGTTGCAGCTTTTTAAAAGAAATTTCTAAAGACTGCAAAATTCAAACTCCATTTGAGGAAGCTGAAAAGCAGACCAGCTGAAATATTTGTGTTTAGAAAAAATAAGAATGAAGATAGTCATTTGAAATATGTATGGGATACCTTTAAAAAGCATTTACTGTGAAAGTCTTCCATCGTTGAATAGTTTAAATGCACACTATGCTTAACAGTGTTTTGCCTGCAAGGGGGTATGCAGATTCAAAACCTTCAAAAAGACATTTTCTTTATTAATTTTCTCAATTGCACAGGCTGATAGACATAGATTTACAGATTTTAAAAAAACATATATATATATATATATATATTGGATCGGATTTCCTACAATTTTCAACCGATTTCAACAAAACTTCACAGGACTATGTAAAATTACCTTGCGGTGGTTCTGACAGCACCAAAAATTAGAAAAACACAATTGTTTTTGCACAAAATCAATTTGAAAACACGATTAAGAGACATCGCTGTTTCAAGAATGAAAGGAAGACAACTCATATCGAGTTATACTTATTATAAAACCCAGGTTGTGTGTGTGTTCGTTTATATATGGGATCGGATTTCCTACATTTTTCAACTGATTTCAACAAAACTTCACTTTTTTTTGGCAGGTAGTGTTTCTTATTGTCTTGCACACTTTTTTCTTTATTTTTACATTCAGAATGCTTTAAAAATTCCATTTACAAGACAATTGTTTATAATAAAATTGAAAAATTCTATTCAATTGGTAGACTCATAACGATTGAAAACAATGTTTTTGTTTGAGTTTGGGTTTGACGAATTCGTAAAAAAAAAAAAATAACTAATTAAGACATGTGTGTCCATCAACCTTAAACAATAATCTTTGTCAATTTTATTTTTCAGTCTTTATGATGGTCGATACTTGATCTATCTCTTACTGTTACATCCCCGGGCAACGCCAGGCTCTACTGCTAGTAGTTAATAAAAATGGCCTTCAAGAGATCTGAATAAGAGATGTGCATTTCTTAATTGGGTTAATTGAACTTTGCTTGAATGTGAATGTCTATCATGACTGAGCAGTTTAAAGCCAGGTTTAAATATGGTTTCCATGACAAGGAGAACAGGGGTTTGAACTTTGCCAGAAGGCAAATTTTTTCATTGAGATTAAAGTCTCAATGAAAAAATTTGAAAAGGCCAGTAGATATTGATTTAGACTGTTTAAAAAACAGGGATGACTACTCAAACATGTGTATTCATTAAATATAACATTTAAGTGCAATCAAAAATAATGTTGGATTATAAATAAAATCTATTAGTTCTTTAGAAAATACATATGTATATCTATCTATCTATCTATCTATCTATATATATATATATATATATATATATATAAAATAAAGATCGTGTTTGTATGTATGTATGTATGTATGTTTGTTTGTACAATGACCGAGAGCACATCTTTTTAATAATAACTCCCTTTACCCACTCCTTACTAATTTGGGCAAGCTAAGGAAAAAGACAGAAAGACCTTAGTTAAAAGAAAACTAGAGTTCTAACAAAACGTTGTATACATAAAAAAAAGATTGTGTCTATATATATGTATATATGTTTGTTGGTTTTATAAAGAGAAATTGGTGGAGAACAGTAAATGATACATAAAAAATTCATGAAAAACATGATCCAAAAATAAAACAAATTAATAAAGTATAAAGCATAATAAAAAAAAGAATAAACATAAAAAGGAAGAATGATAAAATCAAACAACCTAAAATCGAACGATGAGTTACCAAAAATCAGCTTTGAATTGTAAAATACAAAAACCAATAAAACTAAGACATTGAATTAGAAAAGATTTAATCGCTTTTATGAATAATATTTATTAAGGTTAAGGATAATATTGTCGGAAGCCAAAACAATTTTCCAATGAAAAATGAATTTTTTAAAAATTGTTTTCGTTTTTGTTTTACAACTTTAGTTATAATAATTTATAAAGTTGTTAAATCTTTTAAAATTCAGTTTCAATGTACTGTTATTAAGTAAAATTATTTTCACTATGAATCTAAAATCTTATTACAAACTGCAAACAACCAGTATTTGAAAAAAAAGAATTTTACATTGTTTCTCAATATGTATAGCTTTTTTTAAAGCTAAATGTGAGTATGGAATAGTAATAACTCCCTTTACCCACTCCTTTCAAATTCAGACAAGCTGAGGAAAAAGACGTAAAGAAATTTGTAAGCCTGTGTAAAAGTTTCTTTGGACCAATGACCAAAGTTTTCATTGACCGGCAAGCTGAAGAAAAAGACAAAACAAATTCACGAGCCTATGTGAAATTTTCTTTGAACCAATGGAAAAGCTTTTACAGGAATTAGCTGTATAGACTAGAAAAAAAAAGAAAAAAAATAGCAATCCTATGTGAAATCCTCTTTAATATAAAATAAGGAGAAAAATTAAATCAGAAAGAGAAGAGAATCTGAAGTCATGTGAAAAGTTTAATTTTTGTTCACGTGTCCAGCATTCAGATTTTTTTCCAGTGTCAAATTACTTGCTGATTATATTATCACCCTTAATGAAGCACTTGGCATTTTAAAGAACTTTATTTTAAGCATTCCTTGTCATTACCATCCATCATTAATCTTCTTGGTGTGGGTAAATAAACTGTTCATTTTTAACCACAAAGCCTCACATCACTATAAAACAAAATCAAAAAAGAATTTTAGCAACTCATGAGAAAGCAAATCCGAGGGATTCTCCAAGAAGAGCTATGGAGGATACCAAAACACAGAGAGAAACATATATGCAGCCTGAAAGTTCACAAAGTTCTTTACATCAGGCAGTTGAAGCATCAGAACAAAAGGAAAGAGTGCAAGCCGAAAGAACCAGGATGTCTGCAGAAGATCAGAGACAGGAAAGGCTTCCAAAGGAAAGAGCTAGGTCTGCTACTCACAGAGAAACTGAGGTTCTTGAGCAAAGACAGAAAAGACTTCAGGCTGCTAGAGCTAAGAGGACTGCTATCAGGATATTTGAGCTAACAGAGCTGGGTCTGCTGCTAGACTCATGTGGAAAGAGACAAAAACTAGAAACTAATACAGCTAAGTCTGCTGTAAGCAGGGTAGGAGGGACTCCTGAGCAAAGAGATGAAAGACCAGAAGCTAACAGAAACCAGAATGCTGCTCACAGATCAACTGAAACTCCTGAACAAAGGCAAGAAAGGTAGTGGGTTGGTAGAACTGGAGAATGGAGGAATTGCCCTTACCTGGAAGTAGTGGCACCAGTGGCCTTTAACTATCAGTCAGAGCATGAATGCACTTCTGAAAAGAAAGTGACAATAGGCTCTATGTCTAAAGTGGTAAATATAAAGCCAAGAAGTTTGAAGGAGAAAATCCTGGAATGTGTTGTTTGAGTTAAAAAGTCAGGATTCCATTATTGGAGCATCCACCACAGACTTTAAAGCTTATTCTTTCAGACATCAATCAAGAGTCAAAACACTTTTTGGAAAACATTAGGAAGTACAATTGAGCTTTCCAAATGACTTCATTCAAGGCTAACATTATTAGGGAAGATACTTTTGCACCAACTTTTAAAGCGTAGGGTCAGGTGTACCATAGGATTGAATCCTCGTGGCCACTAACAAAGGAAAATCCATATGTTCTTCAGTTATATTTTGTTGGTAACTTCCAAGAACAAGTGGCGGGGCATAATTCTTTTTCACCTGTCACCAGGCTTGAGCTTACACTTACTTACTGCAAGAGATGATACATTGTTTGAAATAGCTATGTCAAAAGCTTTAAATGTGCTCTGGAAAGTGCTCCTACTCACAACTTTAATGCAGATAAGCAACCTACTGGACAGCATCCAGGATGGTTTAATGTGTCCTCCTAGAATGATATAACAGTGGTTCTCCATGGTGACCAACATAACAAGAGAGAAATTGTTCTAAACCGATGAGACAACACGCTTCAACAAATTAATAAGACACATAGATCTTATGATGCTCTTCAGTATCCTCTGCTATTTGTTAATGGGGAAAATGATTTGGTATTAAACATTGTAATCCAAGCAATCCAGAAGATATGTTAAACAAATAAGTATTGTGTAAGGAATTCTATACATACTATTTTATGATGCATGGGAACTCATTCATCACTCTCGACATCTCTTTCATCAATATGCAGTTAATATGGCTGCTAAAATGGAGTCTGAGAGACTGTTTTCATTTGAAACAATCAAAAACAACTGCAAATGGAAAATTATATTCATCTGAGAGATGCTGTAAACACCTGGCAATCTTGGACAGCTCTGCATTCTACAATCAGGAGGGCCTCAATACATGCATGAAATGATGCAGAATGCCATGACCTATGTATGTCACTATGGTAGGCCTGATCTCTTTGTAACCTTTACATGCAACCCAAAATGGAAGGAAATTGAAAAACTTTTTCTGTGCCAAAAGGCCAAAGACAAATCTTGACCCACTTGCCAGAGTCTCTTGCCAGAAGTTAGAGAATCTCATGGATCTGATTAAAAGGAGAAACCATTTGTGTCCATAAAGTGTTACATATACACAATTGAGTGGTAAAAAAGGGAGTTACCACATAATCACATTCTGCTTTGGCTGGCAGCAAAAATTCACTCTAATGAAATTGACAATCTCAGCAGAGTTTCCAAATCCATTGATAGATAAAAAGCTCTATGAAATTACTAAAAGGAACATGGTACATGGCCCTTGTGTGTGGGACTTTAACCTCAATTTGTCATGTCTGAAGAACAATATATGCTCAAAATTGTCCAAGAGATTTCTTACAGAAACACAAACTGGTAATGACGGATACCCTTCTTATACAGGCATAGAAGCCCAGATGATGGTGGATTTTCAGCAAGGGTTAGACAATATGAAGTTGACAACGAGTGAATAGTACCCTATTGTCCCTTGATGTCAAAGACATTTAATACCTGCATTAATATTGAGTTCTGCAACTCACTGAAATCCATCAAGTATTTTTGCAAGTACAAAGGGTTCAGATATGACCATGCTTGGCTTGCAACAGGAAAATAACCGAGATGAGGTAACCCAGTATCAAATGGGCAGGTACATCAGTAATAATAAGTCATTTTGGCACATGTTTGGCTGCCCACTACATGAAAGACACCCGGCTATTGTGCAACTTGCAGTAGATTTGGAAAAAAGTCAGCATGTCTACTTCACTGAAGCAAATGCTGTTCAGGTAGCACCCCCAGCTTTCTTCAAGTTGTGCCAAAATGATTCTTTAGTTTGCACACTTTTGTACTCCCAAGTGCCATCTTATTACATCTGGAAAGGTAAAAAGGAATGGGTGTGTAGACTGACAGGTCAAGATGTACGAGAGCATCCTGGTGTTAAATTTGATGAGCACCTAAGTAAAGTATACACTGTACATCACAGCCAACATGAATGCTTTAATCTTTGTCTCCATCTTCACAAAGTTCAAGTTGATCTGTGGTGACCCCAATATGTACTTGGTTCACACTAAGAGATACAAAAGTACTCAGTATTACATCAGAATATCAAAAGAGCTAGGTGTCTCAGACGGTTGATCTAGGTGAACACATAGCTACCAAGTGAAGAATTAGCTCACAAAAGTTTCTGGTGGCTTCACCGATATAGTCAACCAAGCTGAATTTAGCATATACACACAAAAGACAACTGGATAAGGGTAGCAGGAAGAGAGAGTCCCTTATGTTCTCACAAGATAACCAACCATTCAAATCTACACACACTCCACAACCAACCTTAATTTAATGGAACCCAGAAGTGAATAAACAATTATTTTATGCATGAAAAAATTTAATATTGTATTCTTATGAGACATTACTACACACACACACACACACACACACACACACACACACACACACATATATATATATATATATATATATATATATATATATATAATAAAGGAGGTGCTGAAAATTTCTCAGTTTGACATATTTCCCAAAAATATCTATTCTAATATTGGATCATTGAAATACTAAGGTTTTTTTTTGGTTTTTTTAAGCATTTCACCCCAAGCAAGGCAGGAAGCCACTAGGATGCAAGGGGTTACAGAAGATTTGGAGCAAGATCAGATAGGAGTGATAGAGGAAAGGATGAGGAGAAGGATAGTGGATAGATCAAGGCAACTGGAGATGTCAATTGACATTACATTTGAATAGTTGGAGATTATAGCTCTCAGTGAAACTGGAATAGGGAAAGGAGTTTCACAGGCAAGAGGTGTGAGACATGAAGCTATTGGAGTAGAAGAGACAGCTACATTTAGTAGTTTTGACAGTGAAAGGGTGAGAGTGGGATGCCAGCCTCATAGGGCACTTGAACTCATGAAGTCTGGGAACCAGCAAATGCAGCTCCTCGGAGCAATTGCCATGAAAGTATTTGTAAAAAAGACAGAGAGAGGCGACAGTGTGTCTGTGAGAGAGCGACTGTAGATGAGATGCCAGAGCAGAGCCAATTATATTGCATATCTGCCTCTGGAGCTTATCAAGAACCCCGAGGCAAACAGAAGGGGCTCCAGACCATATATGGCAGCAATACTCCATGCAAGGGCAAATTGTTGATTTGTAGATCTGGAGGATCGATTCTGGGGAGAAAAATTTCCTGGCACGGCACAGGGAGCCAACTTTCCTTGCGGTAGACAAAGCAATTGACTTAATGTATTTGTTCCATCTCAGGTCAGCAGTCAACGTGAGACCGAGCAGCCGCAGAGAGGTGATCTCGAGAAGTTGAGCGTCAGACATTCTAATGGAGGGCAGGGAAGGATCTCTGTGGTGATTAATAGAGAGCAGTTTTGTTTTTGAGGCATTAAAGTTGACCAGCCAATTCCTGCTGCAGTTCACAACCGATTGGAGGTCCTTTTCGAGTTTAGGAAGAAGATGAGGATAAGAACTTTGCAGCACCCCATTATACAAGGTATCCGAAAAGTCACCTAGGTATTTACTATATGTCAGTTTTATACTTTTTATTTATTTTTTTTTTTCCAAATTTAAAATTAAATTTAAGATCAGGAAATTACTCATGGAAAAATTCACAACTGAACCAAAAACCAAAATTGTAGAATTTTATTTTGGATTTAACCAAAATTTTGATCACTAGATAATTTAATGAAATTCCAAAATTTTATAGTTCCTAAATTCTCTTGAATTGACAACTCCCAATTATTTTCTTTGTCATTATGTTATCTTTGGTGGGGTCACTCTGGATAAGGCTATTCAAATTTTGGTCTTAATTATAATTAGATTTACTTCCCTTAGACTGAATCCAAAATTTAAACAAAAAAATAAATGATTGAAAATTCAATGTGCAACATAAATAAAAAATAAAGACACTTGCATCATCAAATAGTGATGGGTCTGCTCCATTTTTCAGCAGCATCTCAACAATGTCCTTCATCTTGGAGGTAATGGCAACCATAAGAGGTGTGCTTCCATTCTGAATAAAAGAAACCAAATTCAAGACTAAACTTATTTCAGGAATCTGCAATAATTTTATTTTTATTACTTTGTCATTGTGCAACACAACATTTGTCTTGTGGGACTGAGTGATTTTTATATGCTAGAATTCATCCAATACAAGGCTGAAGAGCCACTCAAGGAAGAGGTTTTCTGTTAAAATAGTAATGATAAATGAGGTGTGTGAGATGAATGAAAGAGAAGGTGGTAGAAAGTGAAGACTATGAGGATAAGTATGATAGATAATGATTGACTTTTGACTTGAAGTTGTGATTGTAGTGAAACATTCATAGAAGATTCTGTTACCCAAGTAGGTAAAAGATGTTTGGAACTTTTTTCTCACCTTTGAAACACTGAGAAAATGTGGGTGTTTCAACTCAACAAAAAAGTAGCAGGGCATGTCAAAGGTGTGACCTGGTAGAACTAAGAAATATTTAAATATTTACTATGGAAATAGTGATAGAGTAGTGGTTGACCTGCAACATTGTGCCTGTGGGAGAGAGGCTGAAGAGTGGAAAATAAGACTTCCCTCCCCAAGACCGCATAAATGATTTTGGACTCTGGCAAAGCTGGAAAATGAGAATATGACAGCAATATTCCATTTCTGGTCTAGTCTGACTCTTTATAGAGAAGCATTGCAGAAAGGTGGGGTGCAGTTTAACTACAAAGAAATTAACATCAGGAAGTTATTCACTTGTTAACAGTAGTTCATGTCTAACTACAAAAATGGGT